ATTTGGTGCGCTAAACTGTCAAAGCGAAATTATCTTACGAGATAATAAATGGCCTCACGTTAACTTCGCGCCGAGAAAAACACGGGAAATACACAGGATATTCTAAAAATCATATTTCCTGTTTATTACATTGATAGCTATGTGAAGAGAAACATTAGCAGATTTCCTAGTAACAGCAACAATGCCTATATCTGGTGAAAAACTGATGTACATTGCAAAACGATAAATAATATGGTAATTAATAAAAAGTTTTGTATATTCGTTTTTTATTTAATCTAAAAATTTAATAGTATCTTGTCTAATGGTAGATAAACCGGATTTATAAGAATTTTCAGATACATACGCGATAAACGTATAAATAATAAACATGGAAAGAACGATTTTACTAAAAAAAAAAGTATTTAAAAATTCAACTAAATAATTAAAAAAAAATTTTATTGTGCAATCAAATTAATTACGGCGAATATAGGTACATTAAACTGATAAATTATTAAAATTTTATGTAATATTGCTCATCGTACGTGTAATATTGCTCGTGTACGTGTTTCCTACATAATTATTGTAATGGCTCAATAAAATTGTTTTCAGATCTGTATCTAGCTAAATTTTTAAATACTTTAGCGAAATTGTTCTTTCTGTGTAATAAATGGGTCGCTCGTAAAAAGCAATATCGATAATAAAGACACTTCATCGAATATATAACGTTCATAATAAATTCGTACGCCATTTATTGTAAAAAAATACAAAACTATTTGCGTTTGACATTCAGAGATTTACATAAGGTTCGCTTTTGTCGCTTGATCTGCTTCCTAGAATTCTCGGGCACTGTCCTGGTACGTATTCGTTCTTAAAAGTGGATCGGAACCAGTTCGCCTTGAAATTAAAATAATATTTTATTGTATTATTACAATTTTATGCACCTTCACATTCGGATCTCAAATATTTGTGCACGTATCGAGAACTACCAGAATAGCCAGGTTGAAGGATATGAATGACATATGTGACAATAGTGGCGTTTATCTTCTTCAGAGAATGTTAAATTGTTACTTTTGCGGGCATACGTAACGCTGTGGAAAGACAACACGTGGAATGTCTTTAAGCGATAAGAATATTTCGCTATTATTTTCGTACGAAATAATTTGTTCGAATGGCCAAATGAATAAAAGTAAACAATATATTTTTTCCTTACGGAAGGAATGATTTTACTGAAGCATCTAAAAATTTAGCTTGATACAGATATAAAAATAATTTTGTCAAATCAATAAAATAATGTAGGAAACTCTTACTTAAATTTTTTAATATTTCAGTAAAACTGTTTCTTAACTTTTTTTTTTATAATAGTAATTAAAAACGATTAATGAATAAAACGTTTTTTGTGACGTTTTTGGAGATCTCAGAAATTAAAATGATCTTTAAATAATTCTTCAGTATAACCTATAAAATTAACTTTTAGTAATGTATATTATAATAGTTAAAAAGTATTCAACTTTTATTTTGTATATATTTAGCTAAAATTTGTATATCTTTTTATATATTTATATATTTTACATATTTTATTTTACTTTTGTAGTATCTGTTAAACGTGTTAAAGTTTTAAAATCGAAGAACAGAGAACTGCGTTTTAAGAGAATCACGTTTTGCCGGACATCGTACAGTCTATTGTTTCGATGATTATGCAGGCCATACTGTGAGAAATAATATGCAAAGTTTTGCGGTCAACAATACATTAACTCGTTCTCGTTGCTTTTTCCTTGGAACAAACGCATAGCAAAAGTAGCTTAACTTTAAATCAAGTGTTTCTATTTAGGAAGCTATGATTGCTAAAACGCTATTTAGACTATTATTTACTTCTTTACTTACAATTTTGAAATAAGAATATAAAATCGCTATAAAGCTGGGAAGTCAAATTACATGACATTCGACTGTGATAAAACCATCTTATCGTTTCTTACGTACATTGAGTCAGATTGATAAATTTTTTTTTATATACGTTAAACACTTTCCTTTTGCTTCATAAATTTTGTGTCTATTAGTATATGTATATTATCGCAAAAATAAAAAAACTCTTTCTAGATATTGAAATTAAAATAAAATTACACTGAATGCTTCGCGTTGAAGAGTAATTAATTTGATTTGTCTTTAGCTAATAATAAGAAACGTGTTTCAAAAACGTGTTTCTTTGATTGAATAATAAATAGAATAATAAATTAACTATGAATATTAGAAGAACTTTTTTAGTGAAGTTTTGAAACGGAATTCCCACATTTCAAGAATATTGCAATAGTTTTATATTATTGGCACAAACAAAACTTGCGTCTGACGCAATAAGAGAAAAATATTTGTTTGAAAACGTGGATGAATTTTTTTTGTCACGATTAAGATTTAAAATTAAAACTGTTGCGTTTAATTAATATATTCAATTAGTATCTGTTCTTTATATTATCTGCACTTAATCAAGCAGTTTGCAATCAGATAAAATAAAATATGCACATTGATTCACATTTCTAAATATGCGAAGAAAAACATTAAAATATATTGATTAAATGAATAAATATCCTCTAATTTTGTTCTTCATTGAATTATATTACGCATTTGCATAAAAAATATTTGTTAAATAACACGTAGAAATTATGATGCCGAGCCGAATCTTTATATAATTAATTATGAAATAAAAATATACAGATTATACGTATATTTTCGTTTAATTGTTATTAATTTTTATTGTTTTTTCTTTATCGCTTAATTTCTCTTATTATATATATTATATAAATCGCTGAACGAGATTGACACTTTAACTGAAGTTGAAAATAACGCAATGATTTAGCTTTTTACGTTGTAGCGGGTCGACTCATCAATTAAAGTCGCTCTTCCGGCCTTGCAACTTCATGTGAATCACATAAACTTGATTATATACGAATACAATGTACGAGGATATTTGTCTTGCGGACTTTAATCTGTTCTCTTTGTCCGAGATATATATTAGTTGTCGATTTCGTATAAAAAGCAGAGATTAAATTATGCCATCTCGGTACAACGGTCAACGGTTGACTGACGATCGTATGAAAAAAAATGTTGAATTCTGATTAATCCATCAATTCTCATCAAGAATATCACTAATACATATAGGCCAGTATTTATAGTCGATTCTTATATTGAGATTATCTTAAATATAATCTTAAGATGTCATAAAAAAACTAATCAGAAAGCTGTATCAGTATCTTAAGATATTACTTGAAATAAGACTGAATATATCTCTTAATTATCTGCTATTGTAAATACGCGTATGCCATAAATTTATTTTTCCGTATTTTAATCCATGAATAAATATACCGATCAAATGAATAAATCTCGGAATGAACATCCTTTATTTTTGTTTCTCATTGAATTATATTACGCATTTGCATTAAAAACATTAAAATATACTGATCAAATGAATAAACATCCTGTAACTTTGTTCCTCACTGAGTTATATTACGTATTTGTATCAAAAACATTTGTTAAATAATTTTTTCATAAAAGTATGTGAACGTTCGTATTAATGTAAAAATAAAGAAATATTAAACAAGGTCAATGATCGAGCCAAAGATGGTTGACAATTTGAATTAATATTTAATCGAACATAACAAATTTTAAATACGTTTTGGGACCACCGGTCCTTCTTCAATTATAAAAAATGATTGAAAAAGTTAGGTGAAAAAAAATTTTTTTACATATACATACATTACCAAAAGTGTATAAAAATTGTTCGCACATAAACTAGTCTTATATACTAAAATCGGTAAGTCACTTCAAAATGTCTTTTTGTCAATGTGTGGATAAAACGAAATGGACAAAACTTACAAAATCAGCAAATTATTAATGTCATCTCAAAGATTTTGATAAAAATGTATTGACTTTCCAAAAATAATTATAATGTCCAGCATCACGCTAGGTCAAGGCAAAATTAAAGTCGTCAATCGTCAGCGAGAATCAATAACAAGATTTAAAGAACTCAGCGTGAGAATTAATCTGTTCGTAATCAAACATGTTGGAGCCAAATTTTGTAAAAAAGAATAGATAAATTATAAGAATTACATGAATACCAGAATATAAACGTGAAATGTGTCTAATCGCAATCGATGCTCAGATTCGAATGTAAAAACGTATAAGACATCCAAGTATATATGTCTATTTATGATTGTTATTCCGAACGAACTCTAATAGAACGAAATACGATTCGTCCAGAGATTTTCTGTGTCTTTTTGCAAGTTAATTTCCTCTGTCTGTTCTTTAATATATAAAACATTTCTGCATGAGATTCTTCTCTTATTATAGTTATTATCAAACTCTAAAATCTTCGTGCCTTCCCAATCAAATGAATGATTGTATTGTAAGATATGTTGTGTAATTACATAATGTCTAGACGATTCATGTTTGATATTATTTCTATGTTCATTAATTCTAGTGCCAAGTTGTCTCTTTGTCTGTTCCACATATGACGCGTTACAATCATTGCAATTTATTTTATATATTATATCTTAGGAGGGGAAGTTATATTTGATCTGTCTTTCTGTACTCTAATGAAAGAATTAAGTTTATTTAAGCACCCAACCAGTTGTGACAGTAGTTAACTGATGAATGACATGATGGTATTAGTAAACGTTTTAAGTTTGGTAAAAACGGTAATATACAAAATTTTTTTTTTTAATTACGATCTGGGTTTTTGACATCCTCTTTAACTTTGTTATGATGTAATGATTTTTGTCATAATGTAATTATTTCATTTTTTTTTAATTCTTCTTGCGCAAACAGAAAATACTTTCACTTGTTTATTGGAACTATTACACTGTCAAAAATAAAATGTTAATTTTAATATTTTTGCATATCTCGAAAAGTCCACTACATGTCTTTATTAAGTTAAAATTAACATTTTATTTTTGACAGTGTACGTTGATAAATGGGAAATACTAAGATTTACTCTTAGTTTTCACGAATCTAAAAGTTTAATTTTTTTATTTCAGATTCGAAAACAATCCTCAAATCCGTCAGCGGCAGACTGCGCTCCAGCGAACTAACGGCTATTATGGGCCCTTCAGGCGCTGGAAAATCAACGCTCTTAAATATCCTCACCGGATACAAGTGAGTCAGCGTGGAGCTTCCACACGATATAGTTACTGCCAATGAAATAATAATGTAATGGTGCGCTAAAGTGGCGCTAAATAAGAAAGGCGTGCGTTTTAAGTAAAATATAACCTTGCGCATATTCGCTAAAACAACCGCACTTGTCGTCTTGTTATTATTATATTAGCTCGAAACATATTATTAAATTAAAATTTATACATATATTCTCATAGATACAAATAAGCTCGTAATAGTAGCAGATAAAATATCATTTTCTATTTATTGTTAAACAGCCATTATTGATTATGCTTTGTGATTCATGAGTGTTCACGATCGTCACGTTTTAATTATTCCCTTATGTTGTTAGTAATTCTGTACTAGCAAAAGATTATTAAAAGAAAAGTTGTGGGAGATATCCAAAAAAAATTAAAAAATTTTATAAAAACAATTAATAAACGATCGCTTCCAAAAAATCACTTTTGATTTAGCATTCAGCACAATCTAGTTATAATGAGCTTCATTAATTGGCAATTTATTTTGTTTCCTTATTAAAGCTTGTATCATAAATCTTTTATTCTTAAATCTTTTACAAAACAAATCACTTTTAATTTATCATCCAGCACGATCTTTATAAATTTTATTAGGAATTCATTTTTTTGTTTTATTAAAAAATGTTTGTCATATATTAAATCATTATTATTCGATATTACTACTTGATATATTATTATAAATCTCGCACTTTCTTAAGATTTACCGTCAGTTTATTAATTAAAACGTCCAGCAATAGGTATTTCTTGCGAGAAATTCTAACGCTTATTGTTCATATGTCAATAAACAAATGCGGTACACATTGAGAAATCAGAGACAATATCCCTTTCGCTTTCTCTTTACGATAATTAGTACCTCAGCTTTGGAATTTGTGCTTTGTTATTAAATATCTAGGTATTCCTCAATACTAGAATTTATTTGCAACTTTCAGCCGATTTTCAGCTTAGTTCCCGTCCCGATCGGTATATTTAAATTGCGCGGGGGGGTAAGGAACGGGAACCGAGCTGAAAATCGACCGAAAATTACAAGTAAATTCTAGCACTGGTAAATTCGTAAATCTATTCCACGCACGTCATCATAAACTTGCTGTCTCTTTACATAAAAAAAGATCGATTTCATCATGTTATTTCGCCATGACCTCGTCGCGCACTTTCAATTTTTTGTTCAAATCTTGTCCAAACGTTTCACTTTCTTCGCCATACTACGGTCTCACTTTCTTTGGCGATACACGATATCACTTTCTTCGCGTTCTATTACGACACTACGGAACAGAAATATACCGCTGTTGATAATAAAAATTTTGCAACAGAAATATCTACGTACATATATCGTACATAAATTTGATAATGTTTGATAATTTTCTGCATGTCATACTGAAATCGATCCGTGAAAACGTTTGACATTATTTTAAAATGACTTAAGGATATATAACATACGTTCTCAAAACAACAACAAAATTATGACAAAATTACAGATTATATTAGGTGTTTTGCGAATAAATAAAATTGATTTATTTTTTATTTATACAACAATTAATCGCTTTATCATGATGAAATTTTGCATGAATCATTTTGAGTACTTAAAGTACTTATATTAAAAAACTAAGATTTTTGTCATTATTGTTTAAAAGAATTTAATTTTTAATGATAAATAAAATAAATAAATAATAAAAGCGTGTTGTTAACAACCACAACAAAAGATGTATGAATAACAAACATAATGTTATTCATACATCTTTCACATACATATAATTTGTAGTATAAATATTGGCACATTTCCAATTTTAATTTACTTTGCAAAGTAACTCTCTCTATATATAATAGACCCTTAAAAAAATTAATATATTCGGATTAATATAGACTTTCTATTTTTAATATTGTCTACAATCAATTAATATTGTCTACAATCAACTACTATCAGAATGGTTCTGTTTAATGAAGTAATTTATGATGTCTTTGTCAGAAAAAAATTATGTAAATTGCTGTAAAAAAATTCATGAAAATTTTCTAATTTATCTTTTAAGACATAACATATAACTTTTTTGAACATATGTCTCGGAATGACGCAACTAATACAGCATATTTATTTATTTAAATAAATCAACGGATTCTGAATTGACTTATCCAAAAATAATGTAATATCTTTTAAAATACTATGTCTTTCAATATGTTACAACAGTCGTTTGAGATTTCCTATATACTTTGCATTCTGCGTCATACATAAAAAAAGGTTCCTTTTCATTTGCGTACAAATCGAATAGAGTTATTATGATGTCAAGGCGCGTTCCTGTCTCTGCTATATTTTGCGTAGAGATTGTATAAGAACTTTATCAGCAGGAAATCAACTTGACATATCTTTTTTGCTGCCATTACCTTTGAATTGTACAAGGGCGTTACACATGACATCTCGGCGAGAACTGCTTTTCTATTAAATTGCTCGAACTGGTTTTCGACAAGTATACATTTTATAGAAGTCAACACGCAGATCCGGTCACTAATTGCTCAGCATAACGATGTTGTATGATTGCTTTTCGATCGAGACAGACATTTACAGTATATAAAGCAATTATAATAAATCTGCAATTATAATAAATCGTGTTTGCACAGTTACCGAGTTTTTATGTCGCAGTATATTTTGAAAAATATTCTACCGTAATTTAGTTAAAGTTCAAAATGTATATGACTATAAAATGCAGGGATAAATTATAAACGCATATGATGACACAAAAAATGTACCAAACCGAATAATATGAATCACTTCTGATCCATCCAGTTTTGGCCGTCTATAATCGCGCTTCAAAATTAATTATCTTTTTGGAATCTTCATAATGTTCGCAGGTTCGATGCAGTTTGCCTTTGAATAAGTGACCTACGATGTATTTGTTGCTGCGTAAAAGTTGTTTCGCTGCTTGTTTGCTTCTTTTCCAAACCGGTTTCATAGTCAATCAGTGCAGCATATCTACACTTGCAAGATATCGCGTTTTACGCACCTACGATTGAGAATCTTTCCGTGATATATGTATGGCGATCTAACATTGAGTTTCTATGCGACACGATAAAGAAATTTATGAGTTATTAATAACTGTATCTTCGATCAAGAACGTCTACGATCGGTTTAAATCTCTTCAACGATCGTTGTATTATATATTTTGACGTAAGAATAGATGAAAGACGCTTCTATATTCGTACAACGAGAATGATGAAGAGATACGCGTGTATAAGTTCCTATCTTTTATAAATCATTAATTCTATGATGCAATATGTGAATTTGTGGGAAATCGCTACAACATATTATTACAAGCAAATTATATATTTTCCATGTCAAATTATTTATTAGAAATTTCTTACCAGGACGTCAAGTGCAGAAGGCAGCATCACGATAAATGGCCAGGAAAGAAACCTCAGTGCCTTCAGGAAACTCTCCTGCTACATCATGCAGGATAATCAACTTCATATGAACCTAACGGTAGCGGAAGCTATGAAGGTTGCAGCGAGCCTTAAGCTTGGCTCACACGTTAGTCAAGGAGAGAAAGAAGAAGTGGTAAGCTAATTTTCTTATTTGATATTTTCCCTTTGATAAACCGTAATAGCATAATAACGATTAAATTTAATTGTTTATTCGTATGTACGTAAATATAAAATGTAAATGTTACATATATAACAATAGTATACACAGTGAAATAGGAAAATTCATGTTGTGTTTGTTTCATCTACTTCAGTGCTAGAAAAAGCATTATTTGTTAATATTTATTATCCATGAGAATCTGAGAAAATCTGTGTAATTTTAATTAATTATCAGCATTATTTTTTAATTGTACAAATAAAAATTTAATGTAAATCTTTTTAATGTATTTAATTTTATGTATTATCAATTTATTAATTGACATGTTTATTTACCCTCCTATAGATCCAGGAAATCCTTGAAACTCTCGGCTTGTCTGAACACCGCCGTACTATGACCTCGAACCTGAGTGGCGGTCAAAAGAAAAGGCTCTCCATCGCACTAGAGTTAGTGAACAATCCTCCTATAATGTTTTTCGACGAACCGACTAGGTAAGTTTTAAATTTTATGAAAAATAAATACATAATTCAGTATCTATAACTTTGTTTATTAATTTAAAACTTTATTTTGCACAAGTTTCCAACATATTAACTCACAATCAGAAAAATATGTACATTATATTGTGATATTAAAATTACAATGTATTGATAAATTATTATTCAGTGACGTGTAATTTTAATTCTCTGTGTATACAATAATTTTATTTCAAGAACGAATTTTATGACACGACTTGTTCAATGAGAATGAGAACAATAACTAAGAGAATTAAAGAGAACAAGGAAGTGTGTACAGTACTTAAATAGTGTATTTAAAGATTTGGTTGAATACATCTCGAGTCCGTCAACCAACAAGAAATCCAGTAACGATCTCTTTTGCTTTCTCTAAATGAGACTTACGAGAGAGAAACTCCGCCTTTTTTTGATAGCTTCCTTGATCTTCGAATCTCGATCTTGGCACGGCCAATGTCACCAGGAAATGTCATCACATTTTTTATAAGATTACGGAAATCAGATTGTACATTTTTTTTAAGTTTTTTTAAATTTTAATGACCGCGTCATGTAGTTCACGTTGAATTTCTCTTTGCAACTTTCAAGGAACTCTCAATACAACGATCGGTCGCGTTCCCGATTTGCAACGAAGTGACTGCGTCTTCCATATAACTATATAACGATAAATGTTATACGAACGTTGATTTTAGAAACTATCACAAGTCTGTCCGAAAATTAAATAACTTATTAGGTTAATTTTTTTAATGTCTTCTACTTATTATTCTGAAAGCTGATCCACATTTTGAATCCTGTGATATATAAAGAGATTACGTATACAAATATCGCACATTTAAAATATCTCACGTCAGTCGAAATGAAATACAAAAGGGCATAACACGCAGCGGGAGAAAGTAAACGATGCTAAGTTTTTTTAAACGGTTCTTTCTCGTGAAGACTTTCACTGACGAGAGACAGTATATTGAAATTTTTGCATCTACAGCGACGTATTTCATTTCACGAATTTATCATATACGATGATTTATAATAAATCAGCTCATCTCTTACAAAAATCTAATATTGGCCACTTTATTATTGGAAGACAGTAATTACTTATCTTAAGTACTGAAAGTACTGAATAACAGTGCTTTTAATACTTAGAATAATTAATTACTGTTTTTCAGTATTAGATTTTTGTAATGGATATGTCATGTTTGTGTAATGACACAAGTTAATAAAAAAAATTCATGTATTCATGTTGTATAAAAAGTTTGAATTCGATTTCCTGGTTTATGTGTGTAATATATATCACGTCCTCCGCAAAATGTTCTTCATTCCTCAACCGGTTCGTAAGAACCGCTCGATATCAGTTTTCTTTATGATGGCAGAAGACAACGACACAAAAATAAATCAGACCGGTCCTTCCAACTCTTTCAAGGTCTGTATGAGAACTTAATCCTCCTTTATATAAAAAATTACTCTCCTAACGATCGTTCACAGTTAATCATATTGGAGGAAAGAAGAATATTAGTTATATACTTCTTCATTAGCACATATAACGGATATTTCGTGCGGATAAAAAGATATATCATATATAATTCTGCTCTTTTATTTTATTATATGAATATATAATATGTACCACCGACGATATACTATTAAAGACCGACATCCTTACGGGAGTTGTCGTCTTTGTAAATATATTGAAGTGATTAAGAGTTATAAAAACTGATAATATTGTACTAATTTTATGATTTATTAGTTTAGTAGACGTATTTATGCATTTAGAATTCAATAATACTCGATTTTTCTTTAAAATTGTGATTTCAATGTTATCGTCAAAGTTTTATTATCAACAGAAATGATAACTGCAGAGAAAAAATTGTAATTTTTCTACAATATATAGGATATTATAGCTTTACAAGTATGCATATTTATTTATGGAACATTTATGTAATAAAAAATCATGAATTTAATAATGTATGAGCCAAATGTTTATGTTAATAATAGCAAATTTATATCAATTATCGATAATGTCAGCGTTCTTCAATTACCTCCGGGTCCTTTTTATACCGCCGAAAATTTGCCCAGGGTTAACGGTCTTTAATAGTATCTCGTTGGTGTATATACATATAATATTATATAATATGTCAATTCAAATCTACTTTTCAACGCTGTTATAAATATGCAATATGCTACTATAACGGGAAGAAGAAAGTGTAAGTATACTATAACGATACTGATGTATTTTATTTGTTTACAGCGGTCTGGACTCCTCATCCTGTTTTCAATGCATCTCATTACTGAAAACTTTAGCACGTGGCGGCAGAACGATAATTTGTACAATTCATCAGCCTAGTGCAAGACTTTTCGAGATGTTCGATGCTCTCTACACATTAGCCGAAGGTCAATGCGTTTATCAAGGTTCTACATCACAGTTGGTGCCTTTCCTAAGGACAATTGGCCTCAATTGTCCGAGCTATCACAACCCAGCATCGTTTAGTAAGTACTTTTCTTTTTATATCTTTAAATAAGATTATTTTAATATAATTTATAATATTGTTTTATATTAAAACAAAGATAAAGTAAGGAAAATATGTGCTTTTGAAAAATTTGTCTCTATAAAAGATTTATTTTTTTTATTTATAATAGATTTTATATTTATATAAAATCGCAAATATTTATGGTATATGATATCTGATCTGCTTTATAGTCATTGAAGTGTCGTGCGGCGAATATGGTGACAATATCAAGAATTTAATTAACGCGATAAACAACGGCAAGTACGATATACGTGAAGGACACCCGTTACCCGAGACGAAAGAGGGAATGAACAATTGCACTGCTGCGACGGGTATATTGAAAAACAGCGATAACTTGGACAAAGCGAAGATCAAAGACAAAAACGATATCAGTAATCTGCAGGAAAAGTTCCCGGAGGAGAAAAACGAAATTAATAATGGAAAACTCATTCATGGCTACGCTACATACAACATTGCTAAGCAAGGTAACATTTTTTTAATCATATATTTCGGTAATGATTGTAATCTGACGATTCTTTTAAATTGTTTATAAATAACTTCAATTAATATAATTGAATAATTATAATTAATATATAATAATTAATATAATAGTTTCTGTAATTGCGAGTTAAGTTTTAGCCTCCTGGAAAAAGTTGTTCTACGTTGACTTTAGGCACATCCTCCTCATTTTATTTTATAGTTATTTCATTCAGGATCTTTTACTTAACAAGCGAAGTTGCTTGTTAAAAAAACTTTCTTCTATCTTATAGCACAATCTTATACATATAAAAATTTATCCTACCTGTACAGCTTGCAGCAACATTGCTGCAACGTTGCAATGTTATTGTAATATTGTTGCAAGCTTTTGTGGCATAAATGTGTTCTCTTTTCATTCACTGATTATATTTTCTTAATTAGATTAGGTCTTAACCTGTTGTGGTCTTATATCGAGTTGAATTCAATAATGCGTCAACCTATCATATAGTTCATCAATTCATTATTGTTGTATACGATATATCATTATATTATATACGAATTATATACGATTATAATCAGCAAATTATGTTTTTAAGATCTACATAATTTTTTCAATTAATGAAAATTCTTTGATTCATGTTTAGATCAGTCGATTATATAAAGTTTTAGACGAGTTACCTACTTAATCTTCGCTTACTTTCAAGAAATAGTTTCGACCGCAAAGTAGGGTTATATAGCGTGTTTCATTTTAACTTCCCCAGGCAAATATTTCAAAAAATATTTGCCTGGGGAAATAAAAATAAAACACGCTGTATAATAATTACAAAGAGCTGTTATTGATGAATTCGTAGATTTATCATAGCAAAATATGCTACAAAACGTTACAAACAATAAGACAATATAAATATTAAAATTAATATTTTAGCGTTGGATGTGGCAATACCAATGGATTCGGATAAGAAGGACAATGCTAACATAGCTCTGCTCGATGAATCAATCGTAGTCACACCTGAGAGATATGCGACATCCGAGTTCAAGCAATTTTACATCATTCTGAAGCGCGCCTTACTTTTCAGTCGTAGAGATTGGGTAGGTGTTTAAAGAAAGATTACTCTCCTTTCTAACTATGAGTTTTATGATATTCGCAGCTTTAAGGTTGCGCGACTATCTATGAAATATTCATCACCTCTAATGTATCTCGAAATTTTTGAATGTTGTTTAATTCTAATATTCCTCTAATATATTTGCAGACTCTCATGTATCTCCGACTTTTCGCTCATATTCTAGTAGCAGGGCTAATCAGTGCATTGTATTACGATATCGGAAACGATGGCGCCAAAGTACTTAGTAATCTGGGTTTCTTGTTCTTCAACATGTTGTTCCTCATGTATACTTCCATGACAATCACAATTCTGTCCTGTAAGTCGCTTGTAATTTACACTATTACCTCGCGACTGCAAAGAGCGATTATTATTGATACATTATCCTTATAAACCATTTACTTATTTCTTTTTTTATTTGTAGTTCCGCTGGAACTGCCTGTACTTTTGAAAGAAAACTTCAACAGATGGTACTCCCTGAAGTCGTATTACTTGGCGATTACCATTTCGGATCTACCGTTCCAGGTAAGATTTATTGGATAACGACAGAAAAGAAATAACATATAGTTTTGTTGCACAAATGAATAAATAATTATTCTCATCCTTTACTTTTCAGACTGTATTTTGTATATTGTACGTCACCGTCGTGTACTTCCTAACGAGTCAGCCAGCGGATATAACGCGATTCTCCATGTTCTTGGGCACCTGTTTATTGATATCTTTTGTTGCGCAATCAGTGGGTCTCATGGTAGGTGCAGCGATGAACGTGCAGAACGGCGTGTTCCTCGCGCCGGTGATGTCGGTGCCTTTCCTCCTCTTCTCAGGATTTTTCGTCAGCTTCGACGCGATTCCGGTCTATCTACGATGGATCACGTACCTTAGTTACATCAGATACGGTTTCGAGGGAACCGCTTTGACCATTTACGGCTTCGGCCGAGAGAAACTAAAGTGTTTCCAGGTAGGTTTTAAACGCTGCATTCGCAATGTTGATCGTTGATTGCGACAGGCGTTGCTGAACTTTTTTGTGCATTTTAGGTATATTGCCACTTCAAGGATCCGGAGACGACTCTGGAGGAATTGGACATGCTTGACGCTGACTTTACTTTGGATATTCTGGCTCTCCTGCTCATCTTTGTCGTGCTGCGAATTGCCGCGTTTCTTTTCCTGCGTTGGAAGATTAAGACCGTCCGATAGACCATCAGTATGTATAAACATTGTAAAATCAGATGTGGTTACAAGTTGTGCTAGTTAACACAAGTGTTTTACCATCTATCGCGTAGAACCTCGCAGGCAAAAACGGACGCAATTTTTCGTAATCTCGTAAATTATATTCTAAAATGGCGATACGAAGACTCGGTTCCGGTGTCTTGCGACAATAACAATCAAGATATAAGGAACTTTACGCGAACAATGGATTCTCGCGACACTTCTCGGTGAGAACTATTCATTGTTAAAGAGGCATTAGTACATTTCGAAAGTATCACGAAGTATGATCTACTTTTTGTCACATTTTAGGGTTGCTAAAGTTTAGTTGATAATAGGACCAATACCAATGTAACTTATTTATATCCTTAATTTAATAACGACGACGGCTGGTAGTTACGATTGCAACATTTGTCCAGGGTACTATTCTATACTATATATATGTATACGTATACATATACAGGGTGTCCGCAAAGCGCTCTAATAATCGGGCTAAACAGTCAAAAGAGGACTTTTCAGTTTAATCCACTCTACTTATATAAGGGCTTTGTCAAAACTTATTGAACACCCTGTATATTCGAAATATACTATATATCTTCCCTTTTTTACTGTGTCGGTACTCTCTAAATCTTTTAGAATGAATCTCACTCTGAAGAGTCAGTTTCAAAGATTGAAAATCACTCTTTCAAGACTTTTTCAAAAATAAGATTCCACTCCAAAAAATTTAGAGAGTATGTATATTTTCGTTAGAACATAATCAAGTATTGATCTTGAATTTATATAGTCAACTAAAATTTAAGCATTAAATTCAAGCGTAAAATCAGCACGATCGTACAGTGACTTAAGATATTATCAATTATTTGGAATATATGCCAAAAATCTAGAATTGTTTTGAATATCAGCCGAAACAAAATAATATTTTAAATATATAATCTTAAAGTATAAATCTTTTAAAAATACATTTTTTTTTTTAACACTTCATTTCATTTCGGACAAAACAGTCTTATTTTTTTAAAAAAACACATCCAGGTTTTCAAACATTTAAAATGAAAGATTTGTTAGAAAAGAGAGAGAGAGAGAGAGAGAGAGAGAGAGAGAGAAAGAGAGTTTAAAAGTTTCAAAACTTTTCTTCTCAAGCTTTCAAAAATCTTTCAGTTTCGTATAATATTTAAAGAAATTCAAAGCAATTTTTTTAAACACTTTAATCATTTGAAAAAAGAAGAATTCAAATGCTTATTACTAAATTGTGCGGCTGAATGAAGGCAAAACGAAAGGATCAACTCGCGCGTGTTCCTCAAGAGGGTCTTATTAATTGCCCTCAATTGTGCCTAATCTATGTGAACAAACACGAAGCCTCAATCAATGATGTATTTCACGAACGACCATTCTATTTTATCCGATGGCTGTGAGCTTCATGATGCAAAGAAAAAAAAGAAAGGGTTAAGGAAGATCAAACGTGAATAATTGTATTCTTAAAATTAAGTTCGGATGAAACGACGAACGTCCGAAATGGTTTATAAGCGCATGAATTTATATATATATATATATATATACATATATATCTTGCCAGATTAAGTTCACATATTGAAGGTCAAATGTTTTTGATGCTTTACAAGAGAAAGACGGTTCTATCGAACTGTCAAAATAAGTGTTTACGCATTCGTTTAAAAGCTTGTGAATATTCACAGCCACATTCTTAAGCAGAACAACAAGTCAAGATACATTAAGTCAAAATGACATTAAAATGAAACGAATACATTATTGAAACGTGATTAAAAGTGATTTCTAATTTATTTTGATGCCATTTTAACGACTTGTTTTGCTTAGGTTTAGATGCCGAAGATAATAGCGTGCAAATGTACATAAAGATATTCCTTAGATAATTTAGAATAAATAATGGCAAATAAATTCTTTCCGCGTTACTCTGTATCTGTATCAGTGTTCAAAAACTGATGCAAAAAACAAATTTTTATACATTTTCGAAAATAAATTAAATTATTAAATTGATTTGTTGTTGTATATGAATTGTTACTATGTTTCATATACAGAATGTAAGATTACAAACAAGCGTGAATTAATTTTTCTAGTGTGAAATCGTGTTAAGTGGTAGAAAGAATAAAACTTCTAAAGACGGGAGAAGAAAACAGCAATTTAAGATGACTCTATGTCGTTGTAAATTAATATATAAAATTTTTATTTGTATATTTTCTTATAACTCACCAAAGTTAAAGATTTGAATCGACGATTTACAAATATGAATACGTATTAATGCGATTGCGGCGCTCAAATGGATAAAGCAGTCCTTACGATATACATGTATATTTTTACTTATTGTTAAATGAAACGAACAATAATCAATTGATAACATAATCGATTGTTAATATAAATACACTTTTGTAAAATAAGATGCATCGAGATGTGCATGTATATATAATTATGCCGAATTGGCCTTACTATAGTTTATGCTGTATGTACAATACGAATAAAATATGCTTTTTGTAATACGATAAATTGCAATTTCAATAATCTCTGTTGTATCACATAATCGGTTTTTTTTAATTTTTACAACCCATTATACTGAATACTAAATTTCTTTATTTACACGGAAAGAACGGTTTTGTTGAGAGGGCTCCATTTGTTTATAAATTGATAGTACTGTTTCTACATTAAATTTACCAACAATTCGTTTGTGCACAAAAATTATTACCTACAGCTCGATTGTCTACGAGCACAAATATAAAATTAAGAAAAAAAGGCACGTTTGCATACACTATTACTTACAAACTGCATTGTATACATATATCTAATTATTGCTTACAGATCGATTGTCTATAAGGATTTTTGCTCACGAATATAAAATTATGGCTAAATTATACGTCTAAGGCTAAATTCTACGCGCATGAATATAAAATTAAGACTAAATTATACATGAAAATAATTTGTTTTTAAAGTGTAAAAATTTGTATTTTAAAATAGAAAATTTGTGTTTTTAAAACAGAGAATATTGCTTGTAGGTAATCGATCTGTAGGCAATAATATTATATATGCAATGTATAATAGTTTGTGAACAATAGTGTCGTGTGTGCAAATGTGCTTTTTTCTCTTAATTTTGTATGTATTTGTGCGCAATAGCACACATAGGCAATTGAACTGTAGGCAATAATTTTTGTGCGCAAACGACCTGTTGGCAAATGTAATGTAGACAAACAGTGCTGTAGCCAATTACTGATGCTTGTAGGCTAACGAGGTCCTCTCATTTTGTTAAAGGCTTTAAAAATTTAGCTTAATATATAGATCTAAAAATAATTTTACTGGACCATCCAAATAATTATATATAGAACACTCAAAATGGTTGCTAGAATGTCAAAATATTTTACAGTATTATTCATTATGTTTGAGATTCTTACGTAATTATTTTTATAGTCCAATAAAATTATTTTCAGATTTGTAGCTAGTTAAATTTTGAAGTACTCCAACAAAACCGGTTTTTCTGTACAAAAAGTTCGATCTTTATTTAAGAATTAAATTAAATTAAAAATATAAAAACATATATCTTACTATTGTAATACACATGATGTCCTATTTTAAACGATTCACTCAAATATCTCAGAAACACTGTGTTAAATCGAAAAATGTTTCAGATAAAAGTTTTGTGACTTCGAGGGGGACATAAGATGATATCATTGGTTTGACCTTGGGTGGCGTTGTCAAGGTCAAGATAAGGTCACTTTGAATTTTTTAAATAAAATTCCCATTTTTCATTAGATATTCTTGTAGCTTACCTTAAGAGCTTTCCAAAACACTATAATTAAGTTTATTTTCATCAAATACTTTTTGAGTTATAAGGCTTGCAAATTACAGCGCCACCAGCATTAGCATTACCCAAGGCGTCCGACCGACGGCTAAAACCTCTTGAATGTTGTACAGGATGATGATCTGGATAACATTTGTTATCCAGATCAAGGTTATTGGAGGTTGTTCCTTTTATTTTCATATTTGTACTAAAAAATTATTTCTATGTAGAAATGAAAACAAGAAGTACAACCTTCAACAACCTTGATCTTGACAAATGTTATCGAGGTCATAATCCTGAACAACATTCAGCCGTCGGTCGGACACCTTAGGTAATGCTAATGCCGACGGTACCGTAACTTTCAAGTCTTATAACTCGCAAAGTATTTAATGAAAAAAATTTTATTATAGAGTTTTGAAAAATTCTCGAGATAAGCTACAAGAATATCTAATGAAAAATGGGGAATTCCATTTAAAAAATTCAAAGTGACATTACCCTGACCTTGACAACGCCACTCAAGGTCAAACCAAGGATACCACCTGATGTCCCCCTCAAAGTCACAAAATTTTTGTCTGAAACATTTTTCGATTTAATACAGTGTTTCTAAGATATTTAAATGGATCCTTTAAAATGGGATACCCTGTATATAGATGTACATATATGCATTAAAAAAAATATTTTCATATTATATTGTATCGCAATATTAATTACTTGTGTCACGTAAGGATGATCTTTTCTCATTTTTAACTTTCAACTAAGTAAGTGTAAACTATGACTTCTTATCTATGTTTTCTTATTGGACTATATCTACAGCATTCTATTATCTGCAATTGAAAGACTTATGTACCACAATAAAAGAGATATACATTACATCTTATGACTTACGTAATGTGACTGTCAATGATGCGATTAATTAATATTACAGAACAAAGCTCAAAGAGTAATAAAATGTATAAAAAATTAATGTACGATAATATGTCAGCTTTAAACGCTACTTACTTTTGACCGTCTTTTAAATAAATTTACAATTACTATAAAATTTGTACTTAATTAATGATATCTTAAATTAATGCCGTGGATAAAAAATAACAATGGTACTTCAAATAAGTTGTAAATGCAACGTTTCAAATATAATTGCTTTGCAATCTTTTTTTGGCATGCAAAAATTTATAGCTTATATAACACTGTAATCATAAATTGGTGCATCACGGATGAGAAATAATTAGTCGAAAAGCAGATCATACCATTCCAGCAAATGAAAATGGATTGAAATGGATTGGAAATTTTCAATCCATTCGAATCCGCATTTTAAATCCATAAAAATGGATTGGATTCCGTATAAAAAATTTTTATACATGTAAAAGTTTAAATAAATTAAAGTAGTAATTACATAAAATTCAACAGTTATTATTTTAAAACTTTTATACAAAAAATATACGCTAGTTGTATAATAAAGGAAACGTATTAAAATATACATAAAAGCGATTTATTTATTAATTAAAAATAAGGAATTTATATATGTAACATTTATTGTACATATTTACGTCGTTCTTTTTATGTTCTTTTAACTATTAAATGAAGTAGAATTCATAATATATTTTTATGGTACAACTTTTTTTTAATTCAGTTGAATTAAAACGAAAAATTTCTTATTTATAATTCTGAATAAAGTAGCATTCATGATGCATTTTTAAATGAAACAATGGATGTTCTACTTACAATTTTTAATTGAATAGCATTCATGGCCCATTTTAAAAGAAAAACTTTCTTTTTATTCAATTGAATTAAAAAACTGCATTTCCTATTCAGAATTTTGAATTGCGCAGTATCCACGATGCACAGAAATGTTTGATATTATTTTTAGATTCAACTGGATTGAAAAAGTGCATTTCCTATATTCACAATTTTGAATTGAGCAATATTCACGATGCACACACAAAATACTATAATATTATTTTTAGATTGAAAAGCATAGAATCCATGCCATTCCTATAAATGAATAAAAATGCATTTAAGATTGAAAAGAAATAGACATTTGTTTCATGCAATTCTTATAAATAAATAAAAATGCATTCAGGATTGAAAAAGATTTATTTTAATATTCATGAATC